AAATTCACTCCACTTACGAGTGTGCCGTGGTGTAGATCTTTACGTGATTTTCGATTTCTAGTTTGAATCTAATCTCACTGCACCACAACCTTTGCCATTGCCGGTTGTGCAGCAAAAAGAGGCCCTCACTTGAGCATAAAACAATATATATATATATACAGATGTGTGTGTGTGCGCGCGCATGCCTGGTGTTCTTTCTTTTCCGATGTTTCACAGGTCCAGGCTGTGCCCAAGGCTGAGGCCGACACCTTAGACCCACCACAGACCCACCTTAGACCGGCCTTCCGGTGCACGGCCGGTAAAAACCGGCATCCTGCCCAGGCAGATGCTGTCTTGCACGCGGCACCGTGAGACGGCGAGCGCTCGCTCCGATGGGTTTTTGAGACCGCGCCGCGCGGTCTCCGCGCTGACCGACCGGTGAGACGGCGAAATTCTTTCGATTGGAATGCTGATCGAACGCCTGTTTGGTTGGAGAGGTTGAAATCATTTGAAATATAATATAGTATTGTTGAAGATGTGTAATATTTCACGCTGTGATGAAAAGGATCAAGTCTTAAGTTATGCATCCAATGATCGTAGATATGCCATCATGCCATCCATGCCGCTGTCCAACCCATGATGGCTGAGCCATGGTAGGCAGTGGACCTCCGCGTATATTGCAGCACCAAAAAGGGGATTCCTCACTCAGCTTGAAAGTGTTTCATCTCAGCATCGGCCATAAATCATACTGCAGGCCTCCTTGAGCAGATGCCATGCACCCTTTTCTGCCATACACTGGCTCTAGATGAGCGCAAAAGTGGTGGACACCCCGAGCCCGGAGGCGGTTCCGTGGAACCCGTGGCTTCCCCAATGGATCGATGGATCTCTTTATAACGAGTCACCGGCCCGCGTGAAGGGGGAGTATGGATTTGAAGTGCCGCGTGCGCTATTTTGCTGCATATGATACACTTTAGATCACTTTATACAGTGAACTGCCACATTCTGCCCACAAAGGTGGAAGAGGGCATGATCACACGGGAGCTACCACCATTGATCGGGCAGCTTTAGCTAGGGACTCGTGTTTTTTCTCCTAGAATGCCACTAGGGTCAACAGCTTTCGGAAAGCCGCGGAAAGTTTTGATCTGTGATCTTTTTGGTCCTTTACTCCTTCACAGGGCTACACACCACTCGCTCCTTGGCCACACACTGGCCCCACAGCCTCCAACCGCAGCCTGTAACTGTGATCGATTAATATGCATTGTGCATCAAAGTTTATACGGGTCCGAGGCCGTTTTGATCCCCCTTCCTCCAGTTTTGGGAGGTTTTGACACTGAAAAAACGAAACCTACCGGGCCACCAGGCTCATGTTTTGGTTCAGAGCATGGGGTTTGATATGGTTTGATCATTCCGGGCGTTCCAGAAGCGGCAGCTGGATACGCAGATCCCGGGGATCAACAACTCGTGAGACGGTCGGACTCTCTTTTTTCTGGCGCTGTGGCTCCAGGGAGTCGCAGAATATGGCCGAAGAGGCTGCCGCAGAAGTCTCCGTGCCGCCAGCGCCAGCGCTCTGCTCAGAAACTGGACGTCCATCGATAGAATGGACTGAAGAGTCCCAGTCCATATAATGTAGACTCTTGAGTAGTAAACCCACCCCAATTGGATTGAAAAACCATGAAACACCTCTTTTCTATGGGGCGGTTTATTCATCAAGAGTTTACATTTTACATGTTATAGACTGAAATCGTCCAATATACATGTTATTGCCCACGTGTCCAGGTAGATGAAGCTGACAAACCTGGCAACTTGCGCGGGTGCGAGTCCTCCCTGTTTGGATGTTTGATGAATCGTGACTGCCTCTACCTGCATCCCAAGAATCTCCACAGGTCACTGGAAGAGGCTCAAACAGCATTTTTCTGGTTGGTGATTTGAACGCTTTGGGCCAAATGTAAATTTGAAAACACACACATATATATATATATAATATGTAACCATATATAACCATATATATATGACTGTATATGTCTATTATATACATTGCAGGTCTGGGACCAAGGAATCCAATTTCAGTGCCAGGACTGCCAGCAGGGCAGCACGCTGGTCCGGTCACTTGTTGAAGGAGAAGCTGGTGCGAAACTATTCCTGGTGCGATTCCCAGAGCTTTGTTGGAAGCAAAAGCAACGAAGGTTGGAGGTTTGATGACAGGCTGACAGACAAGCGAAGAAGCAAAACGGTCTTCCAGGAAAAAGCGCTCAGAATCTTTCAGAAAGGAACTGTCCGCGCTGCGGCTGCACGTGGCGACTGCGCGTGTTCGCTTCGCTGATAGGTCGGTGTGTGTGTGTGTCCACCCCTGGGCAAAGGGTTCTCCACCGCCACCTCTGTCACAGTTTTCCAACCAACTTTTGTTCGCAGGGGGGCAGTGGACCGCTATCACTCACTGCCCAACGAAGACAGTGATAGCCCGGTCGTGAAATCCAGAAAGGACGCTTTCTGGACGTACCTGCTGAAGTTTTTCGCAAGCTGTCACCCTACTTTTCCACGTTTTGATTCATGGTCGTTTCGCATGATACTTTCCCCACAAACAGGTTTTCCCACCGCAGACTTGCAGCCGACTTGCAACCACATTGACTGTCAGAGTGCAAACATTGTTCAACCACACTGTTGCAGCTGACTCTTCCACCTTGCGGTTCTTCGCCATCCTTCCCATCGTGGGAATCGAGATAACTGCATACAATTGTCGAAGTGTGTTTCGCTCAGCCGTCCCACTCGGGTGCTGAGTGTGATCCCCGTCATTGGGGCGCTGTCTCATCGTGCAAGCACTAACTGACCTCACCACTTTTCACAGGAACTCCACCGGAAGTCACCGACACAACCACTGAATTAACTGCCACAAAGGCTGCCGGGCCTCACCACGGGAACTGATTTTCCAACAGACTCTGTAGCGTTCTGCAGTTTTGCATTCGGCTTTTCCGCATGAAGAACTCAAGCTAACAGACCTGAGCTTCCAGATCTATTTCGATATGCATGAATACACATTTCCACCCTCCAGCGCTGAAGCTGCTGCCGCCGAGCTAGTGAGGCTCTATGTCCAAAAAGGACACAACCACAACGCCTGCCACCGTTTTTTGAAAAAGCGCCGACGCCGGCGATTTGTGTGTGTCCACCCCTGGGCAAAGGGTTCTCCACCGCCACCTCTGTCACAGTTTTCCAACCAACTTTTGTTCGCAGGGGGCAGTGGACCGCTATCACTCACTGCCCAACGAAGACAGTGATAGCCCGGTCGTGAAATCCAGAAAGGGCGCTTTCTGGACGTACCTGCTGAGGTTTTTCGCAAGCTGTCACCCTACTTTTCCACGTTTTGATTCATGGTCGTTTCGCATGATACTTTCCCCACAAACAGGTTTTCCCACCACAGACTTGCAGCCGACTTGCAACCACATTGACTGTCAGAGTGCAAACATTGTTCAACCACACTGTTGCAGCTGACTCTTCCACCTTGCGGTTCTTCGCCATCCTTCCCATCGTGGGAATCGAGATAACTGAATACAATTGTCGAAGTGTGTCTCTCTTCTTTCTTTTCGCTCTGGACACTGTGGACATGACATGCCAAGGAACATCTTCCGCTACATTGGTGACTACTTGCACCTCTTAGGCTGCTTGCATTGGGTCATATCGCTTGCTTGTCAGGCGCTCGTTGCTGTTCAATGCTTGGAGCAGTGGGGCGTCTTCAGCCATTGGAGCCTCATCGTACAAGTACATGGTTGATCATGGTAGGACTGTTTTGTGACCATGAAACATGAGGACAGGATGTTCCTTTCACATCCTTGTTGTTTCTATTGGCCTTTTGTGGTCACAAGCACCGCGGCGACAAAAAACCAACTTCATTAGCAACTCTGCTAACCAAACACGCTGCCATATATCAATCACATATTCACATCTTCTGTTCACAGTCAAGTGTCCCAGCCGTGGTGACGAACGCCTCACGCTTCGCCGCTTCGCCTCGCTGCCATGGCTGAAGAGAAAGGAATGGAGTGGAAGGAGATGCCCGGACCTTGATGTCCGGACAGGTGACGGGTGAGGGCCGGGGTCGGCGTTGGAGTGGGTGAGTGCCAGGCAGCTGCTCCTTCAAGGAGAGCTTCAACGAATGTCAGAGAGGCTCAGCAAGGTCCGATCTTCAGACATGGAACGAGAACATCAGAAGGAATGAATGGATCAGATGTATATACATAAGACTATACTGTACGTAAATGTGTATATATATATACATGTACATATGTTTGATATGAGTTTACTGGGATACTTTCTTTCAGAATCCAAGGACCTGCGTCGGGCCTGAGCCTGAGAGCGTGTCACTTTTTCTGTTACTTTGTACCCAAGCGTTTGGTGATGGTGAGAGAGATGAATTGAAATGCCTGAAGTGTTAGACTGTTAGACTTTGTTAGACCTGTTGTAGGCTTTACTTGGCTTGAAAGGGTGTCATGTTTACTTGACAGAGCACTTGCATCTTCGTATCTGCAGCAAGCGGCTCCTCATAGGCGTGCGGCCAGGCCCCTTGTTCAACGAGATCCAGCCACCAGCCTACCTGACCCATAGCCCGAGCCTCCCACACAAGGAAGCAGCACCCCCTTTGTTTCCGCCCCCCCCGCACTCGGCGGGACAATTTTTGACCTAGCCAGCTAACTACACGAGCGCCTAGACTAGAGCCCACCGTGGTTTAGCAGGCTCCTTCCAAAGGAAGTGGGTCCTGTCATTGCAGAGCCATGCGATTTTACATCAGCGGGAAATGGGGGTTTACGCTGATCTGGGGCTGCTTGTCTGATTGGATTGCAAATTGGATGGCTGCCAAACAAGTTGATACTAAAAGAAGCAGCTTCCTGCAAATAAGTATTTTGTTCATCCAAAGGCTACTATGGATCTGTGCTTCCATTGGCAATTGCTATGGCCATCCCGAATGCTGCCCGGGACTTGGCTTTGTTGAAGCATTGCCAGTTCACGTCCCAGTCGGTCTGTCCCTCATCAGTTGGTACGCGGAGTTGTTGTTGACGTTCTTGCTTGAAGGTACTGACTTTCACATTGAGCACACTCAATGAGGAAAATGTATATGTGCAGGACCCTGGCAATAAGTTGTTCAAGCTCTTTTCATAGCAGTCCTTAATCGACTGGAGCGAATCTTTGTTGCCGACAGGATGCAGATACCACCAATACCGTTTGGGGCATTCTTGGTGTCTTTAGCTTCTTGGCTGGCAAGGCATTTTGTGCCAACTGTCGCACGGTCCGGTCTCGTTTTATGTATTTGTGTTAAACCTTTTCTTTTCCGAACCGTTTAGCATGTTCTTCCTGCCCAAGGCAGTTGCATGTTCTTTGTGCTGACACTCGCCTGCATTTGAAGCATCCTGGATCCTCGATGTCCTACTCGTTTGTGAATTTCAGTGCAACTTGCGCTTGTCAGGAATTTTAGAAGCCGGATTGCGTATAACAGATGGTGGGAGGGAGGAACCCTGCTACAACAAACCCGCGGCGAGTGGTTCAATGGCTACAGCAGCCTCATCGTGGGGGACCACAGTGGTGGGGAGCCGATGGCAACTTGAGTCACGTCTTAGCGTCCTTGTTCCTAGTAGCGTCCTTGCTCCTAGTAGTAAGGCCAGGAGCCCCTAGTAGCAT